GGTGCCATTTAGCTGAAAATCAAGTCTTCTCTAAGCAGGGAAACTCGGTTTTCTAGTGTTGGTGTATGCTGGTTTATGAGATATTCATCTTGGTAAAACATGAACACTCTGCTAGCTCTCAGGTCTGGGGAAAATCTGAATTCTGCAGCATTAGAGAAAGGTCTTTCTAAAATCTGAGATAATTTAAATTATAAAGGTGGCAGTAGCACATTCAGTGCTGGGTTTTTTGTTGGTTTGGATTAACAGTGCTTTGTTTTCAAAGTCATGCAGAAAAATATTTTGCAAGGGATTTATTTATTTAAATATTTTTAATATCAGCAGTCAAAAATTCAAGTGTAAAAGGCTATGCAAAAACAGCAATAAAGTAATACAAAGCTATAAAAGCTTATGGTGAGATTTTAATGCAGAAACAGCTGTTATTTCCTTGGGAGTTGAGGTATATAAACTCTTTCGTGGCTGCATATCCCCACAATCGTGGTGTGAGGAATTAGCACTCACTGCAGTGTGCAAACGGAGCCCGCCAGGCTCTGAGGCAGCGATTCATCTGTACCCAGGAGCTAAATATGACAATGTTAGCATTTTTCATTTCCCTGACGTTACCATTAATAAAGCAATGATCCAAAAGAAGCTTTGCTGAGTCTGTTCTTTATGCTTCCATCACTCACGACTAGATAATTTCACACAGGATCGTTTTTAAATTAAATGACGATAAAAGCGCTCTGCTGTCCTGTGCTCACTAGTTCATAGAAGTCTATCAAGTCATTAATGTGTCATGACAAACTGCGAGTTGCATACTAGAGTAATTAATTATTTGCATAAATAACAGGTTGAACTTGGTGCTTTGAACCGTAATGACACGTGCATCACGTCATGGACATCCTGGAACCTCTGGCAGAGGTCACGGGAGGGTGAGGGCTGACCTGGCACGCAGGCAATTCCATCTTCACGTGCTTCCAGTGGGCAGGAGCTTGGAAGCTTTTGTGCTCCCAAGTTCTTCATTGATGGCTCCTTCAAGAGAGCATCTGATCTTTAGAGTTTCAGTGAACAATTATACAGATTTTCATAATCACCATTAATCACCACATATTTTTCAAGATAATTACAGCAACTATTATTTAGATTTCTCTTTTATGTGCACATTGTAGAAAAGAACAAGTGCTTATTACGCTGGGTAGAGAACTACAGTCTGAAGTTCTTTGTCATCCAGAAACTCATTATGTTAGCTGATGCTGCCTGTGAAAGTTCGTCAGCATGTTCAAATTAGGGTAGCATTGGCAGGTCTGATTATTTAAATCTGGTAGCTTTGCTAAAAATATAGTTATTCAAGAAAGATGAATTACTAATTTGACAACTGAGATTTAGTTGGAGTCTGCAGCACAGAAGGCAGAATCTCTTGAGTGCTTAGAGGAGGATGACAGTACTTTTTCAGATTAAAGGGAGAATTTCTAAGTGAGCTAACAAGTTGGATTTATAGACCGTGCTTTGGTGTCCTCCCTGATAGAGCCTTAGAGCAAGTCTTGGTAAATTACTTAAAGTAGCCACTAGGTAGAAGTTGGTCCTGCACCGCCGAAGGGGCCCTCACTGAGGCATCCATCCACCTCCTGGCTGCTGTGGGGGATTCACGGGAACGCTGTCCTTCAGGGCTGGGCTTTAGGAGTGCGGTTATGGCTGCTGGCACCTTTCAACTCTTAGTCTAATTTCAGTGCCTGAGCTTATCAGCTGTGACTCTCAGCGAGAAGCTGATCCTGGGAGGCAGCAAACAGCCATTGGAAAGAGTTTTCCTTCTGAAATCCCATTTTATGCTGTTCCATTTTGAGGGAGAAGAGCTCAGGCACCTCCCTCACCTGTTGCAGGTGCTGTGGGTATAGTGGCACGGGGAGAACTGCTGGGTTCAGCCCCTGGGTGGGGGACCCCAGTGGGCAGGCATCCTTCTGGCAGTGAGGCTTTGTGGGCAAGAGCAGCTTTGCCTGCCTGTGTAAGGAGGCTTTAACCTGCAAGGTGCAAACAGTTATAATTTTTCTTCAGAAATGTTTTAAAGTCACAACCTTTAAAGATGTTGAAACCTGTGCAGGTCATTGCGGGAGCTGCTCCTGTACTGGTGTGAGTAATGCTGTACAACTGGGACCTCACCCACTGTTTTTGTTTGACTCAGCACAGGTACCTTTGGAAAGAGCTGTGCTTTATCATTCACCAGAACCAGTTCCTTTATCCCCTGGTGTTGCCATCTGCTGGCCTCAGACGTGGTGCAGATTGACTTGGAGGAGCCTGGAATAGCTTTTGGCCAGACTAAAATAGGAACTGCAGCTCAGGGCCAGGGCCTGGTCTGTTAGTGTGGCACTCCCCATGGAGGTGGTGACACAGGGCAGGATCTCAACACAGTGCTTGCTCATCAGAGCCTGCCAGGAATGCTTTAAAGGCAAGAGGAGGGGAAAAAAAAGGAAAAAGGGAGGAATCAGAAGCTGACGATGATGTTTATTTACAGCACAACATCAGGACAAGGGACATGAAATTGAAATGCCCTCCTACAGTTCTGGTTTTATTAAATTTTGTTATGAAATTAACTGCTGTAAACAGCAGCTGTGTGCTGCCTCATGGTGTGTGGCAGGAGCAGTGGCCCCAGACCCCAGTGCTGGACACCCCAGTGCTGGACACCCCAGTGCTGGATACCCAGTGGGGCTCCAGTGTGGCGATGGGAGCTCTTTCCTGCTGTTGCTGGAGCTGCCTGGCCCTGGAGATCATCATGACCATCCCTCTCCTGCAAGTCTCCATGAGCTGCTGTGGGAATTGGGCCTCAATTGAAATCCTCATGAATGCGAAAAAAACGTCTTGGACAGCAGCAGCGATGGGTGTCTCGTGCTGTGTGTGGGGCAGCAGGCAGTCCTTCCCCCAGAGCGGTCACTTTGTGCGGGGCCTTTGCTCAGCCTGGGATCAGAGGTGAGGAGGAACACTGCTCCCCAAGCATCTCGGGGGCTCCCCACTGCCTGCCTGCAGCCCCTTGGGTGCCCAAAGGGCTCCAGGAGCCCAGCAGAGCTGTGGGGCGAAGTGGGGCTGTTGCCCTCCCGGCACTGGGGCAGGTAGAGGCAGCAGCCTCTGGGGCCTTGTTTCTGTAAAGTTTCCAGAATTGGTGGTATTTAGACCCTCGTGACTCTGGTGCCTGGCTGTGAAAGGAGCCTGCTGAATGCACGCCTTGTTTTCTGCTTTCTGCCTTTAATGCATTTTAGCAGCAGGCTGGTGACGGGCCTGACACGCCGGCTCCGCGCACACTCCTGCGCTCGGGGAGTGCAGCATTAATAACACACTTCCATGCATCATGCCATTTTTAAGCATGATCGTTATGATAAAGGGCATATACTTAATTACAGGCCTGCTTAATTACAGCTCTGTTGAAGCTCGTTTGTTTAGGAGAGTGCTAATTGCGCTGCTGAGCCTTTGGCTCACCCTGCTTTCATCTGCTGCTTCGCTCCCTAGTCCTGAGCTCGGGGCTGAGCGCGGGGCTGAGGGCTGGGGGAGGCTCTGGGGGCTGCAGGGATGCTCTCACTCGGCGTGGCTCAGCCTTTAGATTACTTTACAAAAGCTGGCGTGTGGCTGATCAAAGCGGGTTTCTGTCGGATAACAAATGCAGATGGTCTTCTAGGTTTAAAACTTCCTGGATTTGGTGATGCTGCTTTTCATCTGTTTCCTTTTGTTTCTCTTCATGCTGTGGCTGCCACACAGCACTTTGATAACAAAATACTCCATTGGAGAGGGTTTTTAAATCAAAAATAGACAAAGCAAATGTAAAAAGCCACACAGCACCTTTGATAACAAAATACTCCATTGGAGAGGGGTTTTAAATCAAAAATAGACAAAGCAAATGTAAAAAGCTAAGTATTCTTAAATGGTCCTTGTTAAATCGCTAATCTGGTAACTAAGTGGTGCTGGTAGGAGTTACAAACGGCAAGCAGAGAAATGCTGGGTTCGTGGGCACAGATCCTTTCTGAAAGGAAACCCTATTTGAGGATCACAGTGGGGCATTTCACAGCTTAAATTTGTGTTAATTTGAACTTTTTATTTGTTTCAGAGCTGAAATTTAAAGACTTCAATGTTAGAGGTGTAAGTGTAATAAAGGGGGTGTATCAGCCTTAGAAATATGCCCTTTTCAGTCTTGTGTGCAAATTGCTGAGTTACATGTTTTAAAAATAAGTGTCTCCCTTGTGCTGCCACATCTCTTGGCAGGCTCCCTATGATGTCTCCAAGGTGGTGATAGCAAGACACACTGAACATCATTGCACTAAGATAAATATACAAGAAATAAAAAGGCAAACAGTGCTCTGAGTACCATTAAGGTTGTGCTGCAGAGAGAGCTGAAGGCAGTGACACGAGACTGTGCCATGTGCCGTCATGTCCTCATGTCTGTCCTTGTATTCCATTGGTTTCTGTCCTCCAGACGTGGTTTGCAAGTGTCTGAGCTCCTTTGCTCACTGTTGAGTTTGCACTGGCAGCAGCCAGGCCGGGGAGGGCACTTGGCCCCAGGTGTTTGTCGTCATCCTGTCCAGGTGGTAGCACTTACTGCCTAGTACACAGGTGGTGGTTCTGACTGCTTTGGGGTACAAGTCCCCTGAACCAGCTGTTCCTCGTTCTCTTGCTCAGACACCACCCAGTGTGCTCAGCTGGTTTGGTGAGGAGGTGGTAAATAGATGTGTGTTCTCCTTCCAGTTTCAAATACTGTCCTGCTTTGGCAGCTGAACAAAATTGGAAAATGCAAAATTGACACCATGAAATTGTATATGGACAGAGCAGGGAGGATTCATTGGATTCCTGGTTTGGTAGGGACTGACCCAGCTATGTCTTAAATGGAAAGAAACCACTGGCAGGTTAGAGGGAAGGAAAGGCTGGCAGTAACATGTAGGAGCAATCAGTCATGTGTCAGTGCTGTGAATACTTGATCTGTCACTGGGAATGTGAGAAGTTACATGTCAGAAATCAGCTGGAAATGTGACGTGATGTCTTGTCCCTTTCAGCAATGGATGGAGTGCCTTTTATGATTTCAGAGAAGTTTGCCTGTGCTCCTGAAGGGGTGAGTTGCCTTCATTGTTCTCCCAGTGTCTGAAATTCATTGTTTCGTGGAAAGCGATCACAAAACATCAACAATATTACCTGCTTCTGGAAGCTTTTCTGTTGTGGGGCCAAATATATAACCAGTGCTTGAGGTGGGCCGAGGTTGCCCATCACAATAGTTGCCCATTGGGTGGGAAGGGCTTTTGCCAGATCACTTCTAAAACTGAATTGTCCTGGGATTGGAAAATTTATTGCCATCAGAAATAGGAATGGCAATGGGACTCCCTGGTGCTGGAAGCATTTCTAATTTCTTAGCATAGATTGTAAAGAAAGCTGCAGATGTGGAGTTCTGGATTTGACCTGCCATGGGGATGGCATAGTGCCATCAGCTTTACTACTTTCCGCTGGCACCCCAGAAGTTCAGGGCAGTGGTAGTGGCAGGGTGCACCCCAGTGCTGGCAGCTGTTGGAGGCTCCTGCCTGGCTGCGGGGCGAGCTGGAGAGGGCACCGAGTGCTGCCTGCTTGGCACCAGGCACTGCAGGGCATGGCAGAGCGGGAACCCTGGGAGGGGTTCAGAATGACATCTGAGTGTCACTGGACCAGTACTTGTTAAAGTTTATGATCCAGAGCTCAAAGATCAGCATCCCACTACCAGTTCCTGAATCCATCCGATGCTAAACCAGTATCTTTCTAAAAATCAGTTTGCAAGAAGCTGTTAAACCATCAACTGTGTCTGATTTTTCAGTAGCACTCTGGCTTTGTGCTTTCTTCTTCCTGCTGACAGGGGGTTTTGCACAACCCTTGCTTTCTGAAAGGGTTGTTTATGGGCAGTTATTCCCAGAAAGATGGAGTCCCTGCTGCGAGGACAAATGCAGAGAGATTAGGTCGTGCTAATCCTCCCAGCGGATCCTTTAGACACCATTGCCACCATATGGTCAGTTTGGTCGAGGCTTCCCACAGCCAGTGCCTCTCACACCTCGCTGCTGCTGCCACAGAAGTCCATGGGGTGTTACAGACTGTGTCCTGCAGCGGGAGATGGTGGCAGATCTATCTCTGAGGCGGGGATGAGTGTCGGCTGTCCCGCTGAGGGAGAAAGGCATTGGAGCTGTTGGCCCCAACCCACCGTCTGCTGCTTCGCTCTCCTGGTGCAGTGAGGAACAGGGCCATCCCTGTTTACAGATGGTGTCTCTAAGTCTCTGGTGATAGAGTGTTTGCTGACTTTAAACAAAACAAACCCAAAACAACAACCACCACCACCCACCTAAATTTGACATTGTTTCTTTGTTGCCAGATGCAGCCAGTTGATCTCTTGGGCATCACAATCAAAACCCTTGCAGAAATTGAAAAGGAGGTAAGTAGTGCCATCCAGCACTGAGCAAGTCACAAGAGCTTTGTTTACTTAGTTGTAAGATACCTTCCCTTGTAGAAAAGGCTTCTCTTGTCTTTCCCAAATCACTGAGGGGGGATAAAGTCAAGCAGTAAGCTCAGGATCAGGGATGTCCTCTGTGATCCATGCTGAGTGAAGGCGCTTTAGGTGGTGCATCTAATGGCAAAGTTTGGGGCCCTCTGTTTAATTCCAGATGTCTGTCTTGGTTAACCTTTCTCATGAATTAACAACACATACTGCAGGCAGGAAGGTGCCTCTTGCATGTCAGGAAGGCAAATGGACTTGACTCAGCATTATCAGTGAACACCTTCATCAGTTTTCAGTTTGCTGATGCTGTTAAGTTGTTGTCAGGGGAACTGGGCTGCGTTTCAGTGGGTGTGAGTGTTTGAGGAGCTCCGGGAGGAGGCAGCCACCAAACCGAGGGTGGTCCCAAGGGACCATTCTGTCACATGGTGCTGAGGAGCTGCCTGCTCTGCAGAGGTGGCCTCGCAGACCAGGAAGAAATTTGTCTCAGCAGCACGTACTTCTTCAGGCACCATTGGTCACAAAGACCTTCTCCTGTGCCAGCCAGCTGGGTTCAAGGCAGAGAGTAACAAGATGACATCACAAAACTGCCAGACCGCTCAAAGTTTCTCCACTTTTTGATTCCAGTTGTGACTCCAGTTGCCTAAATCGATCCTCTTCTGCCTGGAAGTTTTGTCTTGAGTACAAGAAGAAGGTGATCAGCTGCCAGGGCTTTTGCAGGCATGCAGTGGGCCTGCAGTGGTGGCTCTGGAGATGCTGCCTGACAGGGGCAGTGGCTGACAGAAGCACCCGTTGCCTCAGGTGCTGCGGTCCTGCCACATGGCACATGTGCTGTGCCTCTGCTCAGGACTGCCTGCGTCTGTCAGGAGGAGCCCTGGGAGCCCGGCGTGCTCAGGGCTGGCAGCCCCTCTCTGTGCCTGCCTCCTTCCTCGCTCTTGCTGGGAGCTGGCCAGGGAGCAGATGGTCTTTTGGCCAAGTGGTGCTGGATTTGCTTCTGCAGCATCTCTGTGTGTTACCTGGTGTGGAAGAGGTCTGGCAGCTTGGAGGCTGCCTGGAGGGCTGGGCTGGGCTGTGCAGCCCTGCCTGTACCCTCACAGGCCTGTGGAGTGCAGGGACACCAGCATTGGAATCATTTGTGTGGGCCAGGGAAGAGAGGCTGATACCTGCTGGCTCTGCCACAGCTCCTGCTCCATCATAGGCTGTGTGCATTCCAGAGTAATGAAAAGTATGTTTATGCAGCCCATATTCCTTGATGAAGCATCTTGTCTGCACATAGAGAGCTACACATATAAATATTGTGAATTTCAGCATGGCTTTATTTCCCTTGCAAGCAATAGCACCATTACAGCAAATCTTCTGGATTTCCAAAGCAGCCAGAACATTCTCCCTGGAGCAAGATGCCTTGCAAAAAATATTCCCAAAGAATTCCAAGAGTTATTGTTCTCTGTTGCCACATTTGCAGATGTATGCACCCATCCTCCAAGCTGCAGGCAGCTGAGTGACAGGACTCCACCCTGTCAGGAAAATGATGGAAATGGGCGCAAATCCTGGACTGCACCCAGGCTGCTCTCATTGCTCCAGGATGGCACAGCCATGCCCAGGGCATTGCGTGGAGATCTGGAGTGTGAAGAGGTGGTGAAGCACAGGTGTGAGCGGTGTGTGCTGTTGCTCGTGGCTGCTTTGGTGGGTGTAGGATGGACAGCAGAGGAGCAGAGCCCTGGCAGCGCTGCCGCCGGCTCTCCCTGGCGGGGCTGTGGGGCTTTGTCCTCACTGTTCCTGCCTGTCCTGGCTAGGAGAGCATTGCCAAGCAGGCACTTGGGCAGGTGCAGGCGACAGCAAAGGTGTTGGCACTGTCACTGCGGCTCTGCGGTGCCCGTGGCTGTGGCAGAGAGGGCAGTGGTCCGGCCACTCCTGGGGCACATCTCATCTTCCTTTGAGCTTGGTGTGGAGTAAAAAGTCTAGAGAGAGTCTAATTAGTAAAGCAAGCATCCAATACTCATCATTCCTTTTAAACTGACAGGGAAAGCAGCTCGTTTAACCACTGAATTGCTACAAGTTATCATGGGCTGCTCTTCACAAATATATTTAATGAAGAAGTTGTAAATCTAGAAGAGCTTAAAATTTTAATTTTCCACAGCAATATTTTTTCTTGTTCGCATGTTTGTAGTCAATTCTCCAGAGTGCAGTCACATGAAATGTTCTTTAAATGAACATATTTGCTAACTGGCATGATTTCAGTTTTTAAAACATTGGTTCCAGCAATTAGGAGTTTCCTCAGTTCCCCAGTGACTGGAGAGATTCGTCTTGATTATAATTGCTCTTAGCCACGCATATCTAATTTGTGTCTTTTTAAGTGTTAATTAGTAAACAGTTTGAGCTGACATCTTTATGCGTTTGGGTGTTGAAAAATGACGCCTATTGCGAGCGGCGCGGGGCGGCGTCGCGACAGGGAGGTGCTGCCGGAGGGTGACGGGCACAGCCCCGGCACAACCCCCGAGCCCCGGCACAGCCCCTCAGGCGACCGGCACAGCCCCCCGAGCCCCCGCACAGCCCCCTCACAGCCCCGGCACAGCCCCGGCACAGCCACGACGGCAAACAGCCCCTCACAGCCGCACAGCCCGGCACAGCCCCGGCAAGCCCCCTCACAGCCCATCACAAGCCCCGGCACAGCCCTCACCAGCCATGCACAGCCCCCATAGCAGCCCGCACAGCCCCCTACACAGCCCCCTCACAGACCCGCTCACAAGCCGGCCCTCACAGCCCAGGCACAGCCCACCTACAGCCCGGCAACAGCCCCTACACAGCCCCCTCACAGCACCCCTTCAACAGCCGCCCTCACAGCCCCGCCGGGAGCCGCCCCGTTCCCAGTATGCCGGACTGGCGCCGCCGCCCATGCCCGGCACAGAACCGCAGGCGCCCCTGCTGCCCCGCTCCGCTCCGACCGCGGGATGGGCCCGCGGCGGGACCCCGGGGATGGGACTCGGCGGGGCCGGGATGAGGCTCGGCGGGGAACCGGGATGGGCTGCGGGTGATGGGAGGATGGGCTCGTGCGGGACAGGATAGGCTTCGGCGGGGCCAGTCCCGTGTGCTCGAGAGGAGCAGGACCCCCGCAGCTCGGCGCTGCACTGGTGGTCTCCCAAGCTGGGACGGAGGGGAGATGTCGGCATTGGAGCAGAGGCAGCACAGCCCCAGCACAGCCCTGGCACAGCCCTGGCATAGCCCGAACACAACTGACATGGACCTGGCACAGCCCCAGCACAACTGGCACAGTCCCAACACAGGCCTGACACAACCCCACCTTCTACTCAGATGGTATAGACCTGGCACAGCCTTGCACAGTGAGAACAATCCCAGCACGGCCCTGACACAACTGGCACAGCCCCAGCACAGCCACAGCCCAACCCCGGCACAACTGGCACAGCCTCAGCATAGCCCTGGCACAACTGGCACAGCTCCAGCACAGGTGGCACAGCCCCAGGCCAGGTGCCAGCACAGTTGCTGGTTCCCAGGGTCACCTCGCTGGCAATGTGTCTTGTGCCCTTGGCCAGCTGGCAAGGAGTGGTCCAAGGCCACAGGGAGATGTGTTTGTGACGTTCCAGGGGTCACAAATGGGACACTGGGAGATGTGTGGGGGGCAGTCCCCATGCGAGGCCATTGCAGTGGGTGTGCTGTGGTCATGGGCAGCTCCTGCCCTGACAGCCCCCTCGCATGGCACTGCTTCGACTGCCCACCCACCGTGGGTGGGCCACTGCCACCTCAGCCTCTCCTGGGGTGCCCTGGCAGGGGCCAGGGTGGCCCAGGGCCTGCAGGGTGCAGCCACAGCGTGCCACGAGATGGCACTGCTACAGTGCACGGCAGGCGCTGCAGCTCCTGGGCTCCATGGCTGTGCGGGGCTGTCCCTCAGTTGCAGGGGTGTCCCTCAGCTGCAGTGACATTGTGGGGGTGCAGAGATGTGTATATAGAAATTTTCATCCACCTCGTCAAACCAAAAATGTTAATTCTGATAGTACCGGCTTGTGTATAAAACCTGCCAGGGGGAATCTTTCTGAGTAGCTGCTTTATGTGCAGGATGAGTATGGTCATGTTTGTGTTAATGCTGGGTTTTGAGGGAGGGGGTAAATCCTACCTGGGGCGGTCACTGCTGTGGGGTCAGGTGATGCCAGCAGGCTCACCGAGTATGGCCCTACCTGGGCCAGCTGCTGCCAGGCCCAGTTTTTACCACATTCTTCTGCTCCTTGTATCGTCCCACCCCAGGCATGAGCAGTGTGGCTGCATGGTCACATGCCCTGGCCTGGGCTGCATGGGTCGGTGCCCCAAGGTTCCCTCTCTCTGCTTTGCCCTGCAGTACGACTACAGCTTCCGGACGGAGCAGAGCGCGGCGGCCCGGCTGCCACCCAGCCCCACCCGCTGCCCGCCGGTCCCGCCATCCTGAGGGGCCATCGGCCGGAGCAGGCGTGTGCGTGCATACTACTGAGCGGGACACAGGACACAGGACACAGTGCTGGGACTGCCCTGGCACACCTCCGTGCACCCGGCCACCACCGCCGCCCTGCGCTGCACCATCCCCTGCACACGCCGCTCCACGCGTTGGGACCCCCCTCGGCAGCTGCACCCCACACACTGCTGCAGACCCCTCTCCATGTGAGTACAGGACTGGGAGCCTTGGTCATCCCCACTTTGTAACCCTGCTGCAGGACAGTCACAGAATCCAGAGCTGTAGCAAACCCCTGCAAACACAGCTGGGAGCTCGCAGACCATCGAGAACTCTCAGCCCTAAAAGGAACAGTGAAAGGCACGGCTGGGTAACGCTGCCCAAGCTGCTGTGGAGCTGGTCAGCTCTCTATGCCTTGCAGCAGGAGGTCCCTGCGGTGCTCGGTCCAGTGGCAGCACTGAGCTGCAGCAGATGCCCCATCCTTCTGCCAAGGTCTGGGCACAGCAGTTCTGCCACAGCCAGGATCAGCCCCCCCCATACACCCACTATAGTCACTGGATTTGCTGTAGCTGGGGGAGCTGGGGCCGCTGGCTCATGCCTGTCTTGGACTCTCCCTGGGCACTGGCAGGGCAGGGCAGGGCGGGCAGAGCGCCAAGGTGAAGCACCTCCGCTTTGCACAGGGTGTCCATGTGTCCATCCGGATCTAGACCAACAAACTCCTGTGTTTATTTCCGTCTGGATGCTGGCAGCACCACGCTGGCAGAGCCTGGCAGCACCCTGCTGACCCGGCCAAGCTGCCTGTGGAGCCAGGACCCTGCTGACAACTGGGATGCCATCACCTGCCCGTCACTCGAGACAGTTCTCTAATGTGCCCCGCTAGCTGCTAAAATAAGAGATGTGCCTGTTCCCTGGGCACTCCCAGGGAAGCACTGAACTCTGACATGGCGCAGGATGAGAGTGGGATGCATTAAACCCTGACCTGAGCCCCCTGTGATCGCTGACCTGGGCTCACTCCTGAGCCAAATGCATGTCTTGGAGAAGTCTGTTGCTGTAATAAGTTATTTACAAGTGCCCATGTGACTCCATGCTGCTCTTTCAAGTCTCTGCTGTAAAACAAAGCTACATCATGGCAGCAAAATGGCAATTTTTGAGTAAGTGTTAAAACATACAATTTTTTATATTGTAAAATAGTGATTTCCTGACCCCACTGAAATGCAATTGCCATGGTAACAGTAACAGTGTTGTCTCTCAGCCTGGGTCATATGTGTGCCCTGACCCGCTTTGCACTGCCTTGGATTGATCTGGCATTTGCTAGTTGCACAGAATGGTGACTGTCTGTGCAGGTTTTGTACTGTCAGCTTCTATTTTTTATTTGTACATATGTAAAATATTTCTTGTCCAAAGATTCATTTCTGGTTTTAAGGCACCGCACCATACTGCTGGGATAATGAGCACAAAATACTGTAACATTCAAGACAAACTGAGTCCAGATCTTTGCTTCAGCTGCTTCCAATCAGGTAAATAATTTTCTGGAGCTGCCTCTGTAGAGCAGCCATGTGGTTGGAGAGCAGAGGCCAGTTTGGTTGCAGGTGTGTTAGTTTTGGGCTAAAGAGTTAAGGCTGTGCCATTTGCACCAGCTCTGGAGCCTCGTGTGACCCCCTGGAAGTGCTCGTTTACTTGGAGGTTGCAGCAACATTTTTAGTTGTTATTTATCCTGCCGGAAAGAAAAGCCAGACCTCACTGCCAGGCTTCACAAAGGCCAGATTGATGATGCCGACATCGACAAATGAACATACCATGGCAGCCTGGTCATTCGGCTCAGGTTCACTTGAAGTTCAAATCCACTCCACGCTGTAGTGCTGTACCCATCTCATCCATCTCTTGTCTGTCTGTTTTTCTGCTTGTAATTTGTTCTGTAGTTTTCTGTGACATCCATTTATAGCTTCTCCTGTGGCTCAGTGGTCACGGCAGGTAGGCAGGACCTGTCTGCAGCCGTGCATTCCTCATAGCTTTGGGATGAGAGCTGACCTTCCCTGTTCCCAGTGGAGGAGTGAGGGCTGCGGGCGGCACAGAGCAGCCAGCACAGTCTGCAGAGCCCCTGGGAGATGGAGAGACCACTGCCAGGAGCCCTTCCTCAAGCTGCCTCTTCCCGTGTGAGGGCAGAGCTGCCTGCACAGTGGCCAGGGGGCTCAGGGAGGAGTGGGTTCTGAGAGCACCAAGCCCTGCACTTGGTGCCACACTCCCTGGGTGTGCCTGGGAAAATGGGTGCAGAGCTTTGAGTCCCTTCTGTGAGATTTAGCTTAGAGATAAAATTGGTGCTTTAATGTTTTAACCAACTGTTAGGTTTGCTCAGCTGCCTTGGAGATAGTGAGCTCAGCCTGCTTTGCAGTGACCTACAGGAGACACTGGGTGCTTGAAACACTGGCAGGACATGTGGCTGGGACAGGCATCTACATCTTCAGGATATATTTGTAGTTATTTCTTCTCTGACACTGGACCAGCAAAGCTGCTTAGGGGTGCACCTGTGAAGAACCTTGAGAGGTGAGTTTGCTCTCCACAGTGCGATCCTGCACCATGGCACTGCAGGGACACCCTGTTCCAAATGCATGACAGGGCAGGTGCATTTCCTCTGGGCAAATGCAATCAAGGTGTTTGGAGCAAGAAGCTGCAGCTGCTGAGAGCCAGCTGAGCTCTCAGCCCTGCTAACCACAGGCTGGAAGACTGGGCGATTCCAGAAGGGAGAGGGCTCAGAGCCAGTGCTTGAAAGCACAGCGAGACACACAGTGCAGGGTGGTTGACTGTGTCAGCTTCTCAATCCACTGCTCAGAGGAAGCTTTTTTTCATTGCACCGCTGAGTTCCCAAGATCCAGAGTGTCAGGTCAGCATTTCCATGGGCAGGTTTTATTGGCTATTCCATAACTTTAGTACTCCCAGCAGCTAGCTCATTGCAAGGCTGGTCCTTGCATCCTCGCAGTGAGTCCTCCATGCTGGCAGGTACCATGGCCACTATGAGCATCTCTCTGCATCTTCCTTCCTGTCCAAAATGCGACTGTGGAAGTATTGGCCCAGGCAATAAATGTTCAAGGAGCCTGATGTGGATGTTGTCTGGCTGTGGAGAAGTCTTTTGGAGCACAAGGGGAGGGGATGAGTCAGTGGAAAGCAACAGAAGTGGATTTGCAGAGCTTTACCAGATGTGCTTGGCTACCTTGCCTGAATTTGTAGAACAAAACTGCTCTCTAGGTAGTTCAGTCTTGCGGCTGATGGAGAAGTTAGTTTGCCAAATTATCATATATCTGCAACAGAGACAGAAAAGCAGCAATAAGGGGTTTGCTTACTGTAAAATACACCTTCTGATGTGAATTCGTAGTGACATGCTGCCTCCTGGATTCCCCACAGCAAGAAGCTGGTCACGTGCCAAGGTGACTTGTGCCCACCCAGGCTGGGCTGTGCTGTCTGCTGTGTTAACCATAGAAAGGCAAGAAATTAGAACAGAAAGTGACGTAGAGTGTGAACTTTGTGATAAAATTCAAGTGTGAACAGTTGTAGTGGGTGTGTCCCCTGTGGGAGCACCTCGTAGCCGTAGTTCCGTAGGAGTGAACTTTGTCAGACTTTTCCTGTGGCTGTCCCTGCGTGTGCCTGCAGTGTTTGTCAGAGGATCCCTGCGAGCCTCCTGTGCAGTGAGAAGTTGCTGGTAGTCTGTAGCCTTGGGCTTGTTTGGTTTCACACCCACCACTGCCCCCTCAGTGTTCTGAGCTCTCCAGACTGAAGGTGCACACTGCTGAGCCTGGAGAATTCCCTGCATGGGCAGGCACGTGCCAGGCAGATGCTAGTGGCAAGGGCATGCATCTGCTGACCTTGGAATCTCCTCTTCTGTGGGGCCCTGAGATCTCCTGGGGGGAGGGAAATCAGGATGTGGTGCCTGCAGAGCTGGCTGGTCCCATGTTGGCCCTCACCTCCCTGCTGCCCCCAGGGTGACATAGGGTCTGTCTCCCCAGATGTGCCCGTGGCCTCTCCCACGACAGCCCCAGGAGCCCAGAGAGGTGTTCCCACTCCTCCTGAAGGGCAGGCACGTCTTGCTACATGCAGATAATTACCTCAGCCTTGGAGCCTTGACTAACAGCCGGGAATCCCTCCCAGCAGTGGGAATCCCGGCAGGGGCAGCCCAGCGGTGCTGGTGTCAGTCATCCCGAGCCAGATCCCCCTGGCTGTGGTGCAGGGAGCAGGGGAGGCTGCTCCCCTGCTCACAAACAAGCTCAGTGAGGTGCTGCTCAGTTCATTCACCACAGGGAAACCAAACACTTTGGATATTCTGGTCATTTGTTACAAAATTGTTTCCTAACAGCAACAGATTTAAATGTCATCATGCAAATGGCAGAGAAGAACCTTTTATGCAGTTGCAAAGTGGTTTTCTAAGATGGTTGGGTTATTGAAAGTGATTTTACTGTGCATTAATCTTATGAATGTTACTATGTTTTATATTTATTTTAGATGACCCTCCTGTATTTTACAAAGGGAAGTTTCATTCTGTGATAACTCAGTCTGTATTCTTAATATAATTTGTTAAATGAAACTTGTTTTAATCAGTTTATTCTCTGTGCTTTGTGTTTTAATTTTCTGACTGAAATAGCTACCTGAATTGGAATGGTGAATTGCAGGGGTGGCAGCACGATCCCCTGTAGGGAACATGCTCTTGTTTTGGGTTTTTTGTTCTTGGAAATTGGATATAAAAACCCTTCGAAAATCTGTCTAAAATGTCTTACTCCAAAGGTATGCTGTGAAGTCAAAAATAGAAGTCAACCCAGCTCAATTTAAGTGTTTTATGGGGCAGGACAGGGCAAAACCTGGCAAAACCGGTCCTTGGCACAGGGATGGTGCCTGTGGCAGTGAGGGCAGTGCTCGGCTTGGGGCAGTGCCCGTCCCATCAGCTCTGCCCACGGCCACCTGGTCTGGGCTGCGGTGGCCACGCTGGCCTCACTGTGGGCAGGTGGGCACCCCCACGGGGGAATTGGCTGCTCAGCCAGGGAGAGGCCAATACCACACCACTACACTGAAAATTCTTATTCTTTATGCTAAATTATTCTTCTGAACTTGACCCCGGCTGGTGGTGCACAGTCTGACCTCTGGCATCTTCTCACCCCAGCCAATATTTCTGTCTCACTTATTTTGAGTGGTCTTTGAATTAAGGGAGATTAATACCCGAGTTCCCGACATTCTCTTCAGGCACATGTTTTTATAACCTTTTGAAAGCAGTACCACTTGTTCCACCAAAAGCTGCAGCAGCGTCCCGGAGCTGCCGTGGGAGCCGTCACTGGCACCTGATTGAATGTTCTGCCTGGGGAGGAGGTGGTGTGGGGAGGACATAAACCAGAGTGGGCCCATCCCACGCCAGCCTGTGGCTTCCTGGGGTGGCAGGTGGGCACAGAGCTGCCCGGAGCCATCCCTGTGCTGGTGGGGCCTGCGAGCATCTCCGTCCATCTGCCTGCTCAGCTGCTGCCCCTGGGCACGGGCTCAGTCCTGGGCACGGGACACTGGTGGGGCTGCAGACCCAGTGCCTGGGAATGCTGCTGAGCTTCCAGGCCCACTGGCCAGGAGGACCCCCATCCTCCAACATGGGATGGGACAGGAGCTGGCTCACATCATCCATCATTCACAGAATTTGGTTTCTAAGGAAAATTTCTAATTTCTTCTGCTCTGCTTAGTGTTTTCAGCCATGGGAGTGGCCATTCCTTTCCAGTGAGGTGTCTCCTGGTCATTCCTGCCCCCAAGGAAATCCTCCCAGTGCCCAAGGGGAGCAACCCGTGTGGGACTGGAGCTGGCTGGTGTGGTCCCTGCAGCATCAGAGGGTTGTGTCAGGCTTTGTGTGCCGGTGGCTTTGGTGGTCTTTGTTTTCTTTTCTCCTCTCCCTCCTACAGCTTTAAAAATTAACTTGCCTGGGGAGTTCCTTAAAATCCTTTCCTTTCTCTGGAATGATGGATAAGCCATGTAACTGATTGTCATGGCCCTAGAGAGGATAAACATCTTCTGCAGTTTAAAATAAAACCTCCTCACTCCTTGGTTAATAAGTGTTGAAAGAAGCACAAACAGAGCTAACATGGGATTTCCATGACTAACAAGATGACCACATCAGTGAATGTTGTTTGGGGTTAAAAATGACTCAGCTTTTGCTTCCCCTGGGTAAGATGTTTCATCCCAGCGCAGGAAAAGCTGCCAACAGCACTTTGAAGCTCTGGCAAACCCGACGGAGCCGGGATTGGGGACTGGGAAGTGTTTGAATGCCTGGTTAAAAAAACCCTCCTAAACTCAGCTCCATGTGTGTGGATTTCTGGAAGATAAAGGAGCCCACAGCTTCATCCAGCCTGTGCTGACTCTTTTCTTTTCAAAAGCCTTGTCAGATGTTTTCACTTTTCTTCTTGCTTTGTTGAAAGATGTAAAAATTTAAGACAACCACAAAGTAAACATTTCAAAACTTTCTATTCTGAAAATTAATGACATTTTCAAAATCCCTCGAATTCCATTTCAGCACTATCAGAAATGAAGATGTTTGGGGTTTTTTGATTGGCAAATTTTCCAGGCAGGTTTTTGTTTGTTGATAACTTTTATTTTTCAAGGAAAATAGATTTATTATTCAGTAGAAACACTAGATAAGTAGATGTCTTGTCAAAATCAAGCAGGTTTTCTTTATTAGAGTGAAATAGTAATGAACTCATCTGCTTCCAATATTTATAAAGAGTAGAGAAGGCCATTAATTCTGCTGCTTGTGAATAAAACCATCTGTGATTTCTTTCCATTTGATGTGTTTTGGTTTTAATATACATTTTTCACAAATAAGTGCAGGGAATTTTTGTGAAAATGTCACATTCAGAATCTCATAAAGAAGGAACGCAAGGAGGGGGAAACGAAATGTTTTGTTAGCTAAGTAATTTCTCACCTTGCACAGAGAGTAAAATTCCTGCCAACTTTAACACATTAGGCGACAGAATTACATGTTCAGCTCTAATGCGATCCATGACATGGAACAAGGCAAACAGAGGATGTTTGGAAGTTTGTTTTCCTTTGGGAATCACACAGCACATTTAACCTAATGTGTCCTGACACTTGAATTATAACATTATGAGCTTCTTCAGGGAAGCAAAATGGTAGATGCCTCTCTTTAAAGCAAAGCAGAAGTTAATAAAACAGGCGACATGTCAAGGAGAAAAAGCCCGAATGAACCATCGTGTGATTCTCGGAGGAAACAGGCTCTGGGCTGGGGTTTTTCCACCAGAAGTTCTGGAAGTCTTGTGACACACTTCTGCTGAGGGTGAAATTCGACCTCCAGGATTTTACTCGATTAAACCGAAAGCTGTGAGAATGCCCCAAGTGGGACCACTTTGTAGTTGGACTTGTGAGTGTGGGATCTTAAATTAAACTGAGTATTCATCCAGCTGCTCTGCCAGGAATTGTTTCACAGTCTTCTCACCACCTCGTGCCATGGAGGCTGTGCTGTGCTGCACCTTTCCCAAACGGTACCTGCGCAGGTGAAGGAGCTGCTCCCAGCCAACACAGCCCAGCCCACCCTCCAGGGCAGCCTCTTTGAGGGGCTGGAATGGGAACGGGACTGTAAATGTGATCTGCTCACTGTCACTGACAAAGTCTGGCTCCAGTTACAGGTTTTAAGGCTCGAATTTAGTGTCCATTGTCCAGCAGGATGGAAGCAGATCCTCGGAGGTTCCTGCAAGTGAAGAAACCTGAATTCAAATAGCAGATGTCCTCACCCAAAGTCCAGAGCTCTGGGTGCTACAGAGCAGGGCAGGCACTCTCCTGGGGAGGGAAAACCGATGCCAGTTATCTCTGAAGAAATGAGTAAACTGATTCTCAGCTACCTGTTGGCAGAGGTAGGAGGGGGCTGCGCTCTTCTCTTGGGAGTTTTCATATCTCTGCCAAGCAGGTGAGCCTGCTCACTGGTTTGCTTATAGTTTATAGTTTTATAATTTAATCTGGTGTGGAACTAGAAAGATAGTAATTGTCCCAAACATTTTTTCATCAAATTGAACAGCACTGTCATCTGGGCAAAGAAACAAAGTTTGATTTTCAACTTCAAAACGTTTACAGGCAGTTGCCAAGCACAGGGCTGTGCCTTGGGCTGGGTTTGGGTGGGTTTGTGCAGGCTCCAGATTGCTGGCCTGGGCCATGGCTGAGCACTGGGGAGGGATGCACTTCCCTGGCAATGGACCCACAGCCCTCCATGGGCCCCTCCCCTCAGACAGAAGCACCAAAATGCTGGGTTTAAATGGTAATGAAGAAAATTCACACTGGATATTAAGGAAACTACCTAAAGGGGAAGCATGTGAGGCCCAGGAGGGCGGTGTCCATCAGTCTTTGCCAAATACGTGTTGGGAGCAGGGGAGGTGAGGCTGAACCTCAGCAGTGCCCAACAGCACGTCCCTCCTCCTGCAGCTCTGCCTTTCCTCAGGGAGCACACCAGTGGCTGTTCCTACACTCATGGCAAAGGGTTGGGATTTGGGTTGTCTGGGTTTGCTGGGAGTTGGGGGAAGGCACCTCCCAAGTCACTGAAGTGTCAAGAGAACGGAGCCCGAGAAGCTGATGTGCCAAAAGGTCATCTCAGGTTAATTCCCTGCCAGGGGAACGCTCCAACCAGGAGTGTCTGAACACGGTCCTTATCCAAAACCAGGCAAGAAGCCCATGGTGGCTGTTCCTGGGGTGTCCTGCAGGAGCACAGTGGGAGTTCATTGTGATGCCTCAGGTGAAAAGCAGAGGGTGTGAGGTGAGCAGAGGCAAGTGGAGGGGAAGGGTAAGAGTGACTGGGCTGGCCCCTGCCAGGGATGGTCGTGGTGGTCGCTGTTCTATAGTGACAAATATATTCCCACTGGTTGGGAAAAAGCTGTTGTGTCCATGGGCTGGGCCAAGGGCCAGCAAAACCCAAGGAGTACGAACTTGGGGATATATGAGGATCCGTTTCACGAGTTTGGGGGCCACAGAGATGGCTTCCTGCAACTTACTGTGCCCTGAATTACACAAAGACTTTCTGTCCATTCCACCTACACGTAGGCCTGTTCCCACAGTCCCCAGCAGTGACCTGTCACGGGTGGCAGAAGCCAGTTGATGTACTCAAAGCCCTTAATGCAAACTTTTCCCCTGTTCTTTTTCTAATTCCTTTTTCTGCCCAAATGCCTACATATATGAGGCTTTTAGGAACTTAATTATCCTTGAGACTTCTACCTCTTTGTGAAATCTGGTTTAAATCAGTAAAGAAAAGAGTTCAAAGTTATTGGGCAGGACAGGCAGACAGACAAGCACACAGGGATCACAGGAACCTTGTTTTCATAGGAAACTAGATTAAAAAAATCCCACAGCGGTTACCAGCCCCTTCAGTGGCACCCCCCCCTCAGTCCTGCACAGGGTGATGCTTGGGGGGGGGGCTGGGGCACAGGCAGCCTGGGTTTGTGCTCTTTGCAAAGGGGAGGGGGCTGGGAGCAGATCCTGCCTCCTTTAGCCGGGGTTTGGTGGGCGGTGGCGGGGGCAGCAGCGATTCCGCAGCCTGTCTGCTTTTCCCAGCTGGATGCAGATTCATGACATCCCTGCTCACTT